GAAGGGTTTCCAGAGGCAGTAAATCTCATGGGATGAAAACTGTCCATCTTTCTCCTGTTGAGCAGCTGATGGATTCGAACTTCATACCTTTGGTTTGGCAGCACAATTCCTTACTGCTAAGACAGCAGAACTCCCACAGCTGGAGAGTCACCTAAGACTAGGCCTAACTCCACCACACATAACAGGATCTGGGAGATGATACACTTCATTTTAACGAGAGGTTAGGTAGGCTCAATGATGAGCCCTAAACAATGATATAAGGAACTTGTCCTCAACTCATTGAGAACAATGGTCAGCAGGACAATGACTGATGAAAGAACCTGGTGAGGGAATCAAGGCCACCTGCACACGGACATAAATGGTCAGATGACAGGAAAAACACTTTGCTGGGACTCTTAAATGAGAGACTCACTACACTGTATTCCAAACCTCTCAGTGACATCCTAATCGGCGCTACAATTAGATAGAAGGTTATGAGGAGGACATAGCTGTTGATGGAATTCTGACAAAAATTTGGATGAAACGTGGAATGTGTACACTGACTTTATGCTAAGTGGTTTACTTGGACGTATTCCTAACCAAGCTCATGGTCAATGAGTTAATCTGCAAAACAGAACAGAGCAAAATGGCTTCATAGAACTTCCAAGGCTGTAAATCTTTACAAAAGCAGAGTGCCTCATTTTTCTCCCATGGAGTGTCTAGTGGGTTTTAACTGCCAAACTTCTGGTGAAGCTGCTGGGCCCGAACCACTGTGCAACCAGGTTTCTTCCTAAATCTATCAACAGAATAGCTATCCTGTCAGATCACTTTCGTTAACCTACTCCTGGAAAGCAGAAGGTACAAGTGTCCTTTGGCTGGTATTTCACATACCACGTGGGAACCTATTGTACTGTCCAGTCAGAACTGACTTGTACCTGACTGTCCAGCAGGTTTTCAGAGGCAGTAAATCACACAGGAGGAGCTCACCCACCTTTTTCCCATGAAGCAGCTGGTGGATCAGAACTGCCTACCTCTGCACTGGCTTGCACAAGCCACCAGTGCTCCCTGAGAACTGGCAGTACTGCCTAAGTCAACATAGCCTGCTAATTTGAGATGACATCAAATATTTGGTGGACAAGGGTAAGATTAGTAGTTAAAGTGCTAGGATCAGTAAAATCGCTGTACAACAGGCCCAGAGATGGAGAGAGAGGGGCCAGCTGACAATCTGCTGTACGTGAGAGCAGAACACGGCCTGGTTCAGCAACATCCGACAGCTTACCAGCTTGTCTGAGTCCACTGCTGTGTCAGCCTGGCTCACATAGCTGGAAGGTAGTTAGGCTCAGAAATGTGCGCTGAGTGTGAGGATGTGCTGTGCTAACATCAGAAATTCGAGAACAAGCTAGCCTCACTCTTAGGATTCCCAGAGATGGCTAACGAACCTAACACATCTCTGAGCATTAGCACAAATTGAAATCCTCAGGGGTAGTGCAGGCAGGAGTCCCCTGTGACACTCCATCAGCCCCTCCCACTGCCACAGAGCCAACTCAGCAACTGAGCAGGAGAACATCTTTCTCCTATTGAGCAGCTGCTGGGTTTGAACTGCCAATCTTCAGGTTACTGACTGAATACTTTAACCAGTGCATCACCAGAATTGTGACACGCTACTTACTGTTGTCAAGGTGACCTCACAACAAGTTTCTGGGGCTGTAAATTCTAACAGGAGGAAAACAGCCCATCTTTCTCACATGGTGAGTTTGAACTCAGTTCTGCAGTCTTTTGGTTAGGAGCAAGATACACCACATCAGTAAGCCTACCTTCTGCACCGCTGCAAAATCAACTAAAACAAAACTGTTGCTGCTTCTAACCCAGGAACTAACCAAAGGGAGAAGACCAGTACCTGGCTAGGCCATCTGGAATCTGTAAGATACATATTCCACCTCCAGGAATATTACCAGCTGTTAGCTACAAAACTACCCCCAAAAACCTGTTTTTCAGCAGAGGCACGTGCAACGGCAAGCCACAGTACAGTCAACACTTTGGTGCTACCAAGACCCTCCTTCCAATCTAATTTTGGAATATCCAAAATTCACTTATATGGACTGGAGCTTACCTGTCAGTACTGCCAGCAGCATCTCTGGAATTTTGGACTTAGCCATTTCCAGATGGGGTACAGCACATGTCACCTACAGAGAGACAACACCTGGGCACAGCTTATGGGTAACTGACTCAGGATTACTAAAACCAAGCCCATTGCCTTGGATCAATTCTGACTGGGGAGGACTGACCGGAGAGCAGCTGTGTCCCATAGGTTTCTCAAAGTTGTGATCCAGCCACATCTTTCTCCTGCACAGGAGCTGAGGGGTTTGGACCACTAACTCCTGGGTCCACAGGTGAATGTGTGGAAACACTGTGCCACCAGGGCTCCTTCTAGCCCAGACAGAGTATTCAGTAACAAACAACACTAAGAAGAGTAGTTCAGATTTTGTCCTGGTAACACAAATGCTATACCCATTAATGCTCTTAGAACTTGCTAAAACAGGAGCCTAGGCATTTCCATCAGGCTCTGAGAGTCCCCTTCTCATCTACTTTTCCTTCCTTTGCCTATTCTGGTCAGTTCTATGTTCTACTTTCTACTGTGTCTATGTGATTATCGTATCATCTGCTGTACATCTCCAAGACTTCATTACATTTTCTTATACTATAGAAACAAGGAAATCAAATCAGGTTTCCTTGGAGAATGGCTAAATGCAATGCTTGGAGAAAATACAAGATGAGCGTGGGAAAACATGGAGTGCCAAAAGGAAGGACACAGTAACAAAGAGTGAAAGGATGAGAAAGGTGCACGCGAATAACCTAAGGGGCATCTGCTCTTAGTGGCTAACGTTAAAACAATGCATACAGGGTTTGAGCCCAAAGAAAAAGAAATAGTCAAAATTCCACATCTGCATAATGAAATCATTAAACATATACACACGTGAGGGAGAAACTTTTTTTCCTAACGGAAGAACTGCAGTAGTCAATGCTGAAGGGACAAGGAAAACAGGAATTCACTACAGGGATTCAGTGGATGAAAGTTTAAGGGTAAACGGGGTATTTGCATAGTCTTCAAGGAGTCAGTCTAAGGTATTTATGAATTAGCAAGTGAAAAACTTATGGTTATTTATAAATTAGAAAGGGGAAAACTGTGACTTTAGTGTAGGGGAATGCAGTAGACACCATTTAACACAGTATCAAGGTTAACACACCAGTAAGAAATCATGGCCATTGTTGACCTCCAGACACAACGTGTGTAAGGGCATGTCTGCATTCAGACCTCAGAAACTCAGGTTATTATTACTCACTTCGCTATCAATAAGCAACCATTCTTTAAGAAACTAGTAAGGATTACATCAATTGAAATACAGGACCAGTTCTGGACAGTCATTCAAAGTATGAATAATCAGAGGGTATACAGTGTCTATAAGGATATTCTTTTCTCTGAAGAACAGAGTAATAGAGTAGAAGGGAGTTTAATGAATAAAAGAAAAAGAATGACACATATTGATTGGCTGATGTTTGACATACAGTATGGTTTGTTTATTACTGGCACGGTATAACATATTATGGTAGTGATAATAATTACAGCAAATATTTTAACATATTTCTATTTCCTATTATTTAAATTATTTTAATAATATAAAAGTATTAAATCTATTTCATAAATATTTCAAAATACGATAAATGCTGCATTTATTTATTCTTTTAATCTTAACAACAATCCTCTGGCATGAATGTAGATGATGAAATCCTGACATAAAATGTTTAGTGATCTGCTTGAGATTATTTAGCATGTGGCAGAACGTGTCACAGTATACCTCCTCCCAGACAAATACCAGCTTAGTTAAAAAAAAAAATACCAGATACTATGCTGAAGACATATTCTTAGACTCCATATATTCTGTCCGAAAGCTTTCATTCTACTTATTTTATGGATGAAAAAACTAAGGCTCTGCTCGATGGTTTAACATATTGCAAGACATTTTGCATGCTGGATCTCTGTAGGACCATCCATTTTCCTCACTCTTACACCTGCCTAGCCTCTGCGCTAAGAAAAAAGCATATTCCCTGCAAACATTTTCAAATGTTTTTAGGGAAGTGGTACTCCTCTAAAGTTTTAGCAGGTTGCTAAAAGGTTATTAGGTGGTAAGATGCAAAGCTGGAATGGGATCTAGGATTCCATAAATTCAAGCTGATGTTATTTCGATCCAAGACACAGACTTGGTGGAGAAGCTGAGATTGAAATCAATGAACAATGACGGAGAACAGAGCTTCATAAAGTCCTGAAGCCATAGATTCCATGGATGAAAATTCAGCTGAAAATAAGTGAGAGGCAGTCTATAAAGTATGACAACTAAGTTACATGTCATTTATTGAATGAAGCATGGAGCAACCTGTAAAGTGCATCAACCTTGTCTAGTAAGACGACTGGGATGCAGCAGAAACTTAAGTGATAACTGGCATCACAGGGATGTTAATTCAGCACACGTCTTAAACAATAGAACAAGTTTTTAAGACTTCCTGGAAGAATTTTAAAAACTTGCCAACTTTTCAGTGTTTCTTAAGTTTAGTATTTTCCAATCTACCCAGGCTGTTTTTCCACCTAACATCTTGAAAATTTCTCATAAACGCTATGATTTATGGACACAAAATCATCTTTACTATCCTAATCGCAAGTGTAGAAATTGAGAACTTTGGGGAGAAAAGCATCATTTTTAGATATAGGTTATAAATTATGCCAAAAAAATTCTCCCAAGCACACAGATATTAACATATCTACTTCTCCAAGAAAATAAAACAGCTTTATATTTATTATTTAGATAACATGAGAAACTTGAAAAATTTAACAATATAAATATTGAAACATATATATACACACACCCCTTAGCAGTACTCAATAATCAATATTTTGGTTGCTGAATGGAATTTCTACACTTTAGCTTGCACATTCACAAGGCAAATAAAAACTGAGTAATCAACATTACCTTTGCAATGATAACTTCTTTTTTCAGAATCTTCATAGCATAATACTTCCCACTTGCCTTCTCTCGAACCAAAATAACTTTTCCAAAAGTGCCTTTACCTAGTAGTTTCAAATAGTCAAAATCATTCATTGTCTGCAAAATACAAATTAAACAATATGAAATATTTCAAAGAATTAATATTTGTGTACATTTATACATGTATACTTGCAATATTCACTAAAAAAACAAATTTTCCCAATTTCTGTATACTCATAAATGAGTAAAAATCATACTAATACAGGCTGTTTCGTCAATAATCACAGACTGAAGTAACTTAAATCTCAGATATGGCAAGAATTATTCATAAAATTCACTGTTGAATTATTAGTCAAGCATAAAGACACAAGAACTCCTTTTTATTTATTCCAAAGACACACACTTTCAAGGATTTAGTAAGGTGACTACAATTAAGCAACTTCCAGACAATGTAATATCTACAAATGTCCCTCCCAAACATTTCCAAGGGGAACAAAAATTGTGGAAAAAGCTAGCTGAGAACACACAAAGATGGGCTAAGAAGAAACCCCTAAGAGAGAAAGATGTGTTTAAGAAATGCTAAAAACAATCTTGGAATAATGTAAAAAGAAAGGGATAGAAGACAAAAGATTAACTGATGAGATGCAACTGGTAAATATAGAACAGGACTTCAGAGAGCTCTGCAAAGAGCATCTTTAATTATTCCCATTTTCAGTTTAACTTTCATTCTAACTTCTAAATCAGCGGTTCCAGGGTCCTGATGGGAGGGCATACCCATGTTCTCTTCCCTGGGCTCTACCTACAAGGCTCCTCCATATGTGGTCCACTAATTCTGCCCTCTCACCTAACTTTTCAATTCTGTGAACTTAGTCCCTTCTAAAACTCCTTTAATGACATTTCTATGGGCTTCTGGATGGAAGTGTGAATGGAAAGGTGTATTTTCAGCTTTGCCATATTAAACTTTAATTCCTTTAAGAGACATATTAATAAGGAAGCAGAAATTGGCATTTTATCTGACAGAAAAACAGGAGTCATTGAAAATATCTGTGGTTTTTAACAACTATTTTGGGTTTTTTTTGTTTAGTAGCCATCTGAAGCGAATTCAATGATGTCACTACAGAATTTCGAAAATGCAAAAGAATTGAGAGGCAAAGTAAATGATAAAGATGAGACCTGAAATAAATGACATTTTAAAAAGAGAAAAAGCACTGAGAACACAAACTGGTCCTCTGAAAAGGTCCATAAAGGTGATAAACTTCTAGTGCAACCAAAATGGGGGTTGGGGAGGGGGAAAGACTGGATTTCCATTATCAGATTTTAACTGGTTTATATAGAATATTATAACCAGCTTTATGCCAATAAAATCAACAACTTAGATAAAAAGAGGCAAATTCCTTGATAAAATTAAAACTACAGGCCACATCTCTTGAGCACAGATATCAAAAGTTTATATATTTTAGAAGGAATGCCTGCACTGATACTCAGCATTGTTTGCTGTCTACAGTTTTTATAATTTCCACTAAATGTCAAGCTGTAACCTCTTAACTCTTCAGTATCATTGCAAGTTTAAAACTAAAAGTATCCTTTAAAAAGTACCAAAGAGCTAAAAGGACAAACTTAAACAAAAACCAAATCAAAACAAACAAAAAATCGTATTTGCTAATTCAACTAACAGTCAAATACAACACAAAGAAATCATCCTTTTGAACAAACAGCAGGTGACAATGGGTAGGTGACTTTTAAGACTACACTTACTAGTACTATAAAACCACAAAGCTATCGATGACTGAAATTTTTCATAGAATGCTGCCACTGATTCTCTACTTCCTATAAAAACATGGGGTTCTTCTCAGGGAGTGGTGGCATCTATCTGGCCAGCCTTAAGTCTACTTTGACCATAAATGATGAGGAAGGTGATTCTGTGCCACTTTCACACTCAGTCTTAAAGAATCCTGGTGGTTTCTTCCCTCTGCCTCACAGGAGAAAGCTCTCACTATCTAAGAAAGCCCAGGCTGTTCAGCTGGACAAACAGGCTGGAAAGAAGGCCCCAGAGAAGGAGATTCAGCATAAAGTGAGAACCAGGGCCGCTCAGTGTGCAGTTAGTCAAAGGCCTCTGACACAGGAGAAGTTTTCTGGACTTTCCAGCCTACCAATATGCCAGCCAACGGCTGCTGCTCAGAGATCTACGTGATAGCACATGACCCCTCACACCAGAGTCCCAAGCAGTAATACAGTCTTGTTAGAAACCATTATGGTTGACTGGGATCACATAATTCCATGACAGCAAGTAATGGAAAACATCTTCTTTTGGCCAGACCATGGCATCCTTTCATTTCACACAGCTTTATTTCAGAACTACTTTTCCATTTTCACCTAACAGCACCAGAAAATGACACTTGATTTGCCTTCTCACTAAATGCAAAGAATGCAAAGAGAAAGATAAAAAAAAAACAAACCCAAAAAAACCCCAAGCAAAAACCTGAAAACTTAGGACTTTTTAGATAAAAAGCAATGTACTATTACAAAACACTATTATGTTCCTTAAGGACTGGTATTCTGAGGACAATAAGTTGGGTTTTTTTTTTTAAAAAAAAAAAAAAGTATGACAGCCTTAATTTGAAATTTCACAACTTCTGTCAGTTTGATTGTCAACCTTGAAAACAACAAAGAGAAATCTGCACAGAAAGTAATATTATTAAAAGGCATTTTGTGTAATTAAATCATAACCATATTCCATATCTGACCTGACAAAACTTCAGAAAATTTTAAAAGTTTCTTTGAAACCAAATGCGCACATTCAGCTTGGTTTATACAGTAACTACTTAATCTTTACAAACAGAATGTCATTTATTAGAAAATGTTTTTCTATTACATATGGGTATCAAGGACAAAAAGATACTGTAAGACTTCAGTCAGAAATGAGAGCATACATACACTTACAGAAAGATTCATCCTCTAAGCTCAATGCTAAGAACTCAAGAAACAAAGATTCTGAATAGTGGCATTTTGTCCCTTTAATGGCCTTGTGGTAAGAAGCTGTGCTGCAATCCCAAAGGCATGGGTTCAGATCCACCAGCTGCTATGTTCTCCTGTGTGATTTATTGCCTCTGAAAACCCACTGAAAGCTAGCTATGAGTCAGTTCCAACTCAACAGTATACAACATGTTCATATGGCTTTGTCAGGTTCAGCAAATACCAAAAGGTGATGAAAAATTTCTGAAAATACAAACTGTTAAGAGCTGCGCGCGCACGCGCGGTGGTAGTGACACTGAGAAAAGCAACTGGCAGGTAAAAGTACCGAATGATCATTTCAGGACATCATTTTCAGACATTTTAGAGAGAGATGCATTTGTATGACAGTTTCATGTTGCTTGTGACAGTAGTCAGGGAACTGATTCCAAAGCACTGTGACTCCACGTGTGCAGAAAATAGCTCCTTCTCATTTTACATGTTGTTAGGCACCGCCGAGTGTAGTACGACTCACAGTGACCATATGAACAGCAGATCTGAACTCTGTCCTATCCTGTGCCATTGTCCTCATCTCTGACATACCTGAGCCCATTGCTACAGTCACTGTGTCAATTCATTCCGATAGGGGTTTTCCTCTCCTCTGCCTTTCCAAGCATGATCTCCCTTCTCCAAGGAACAGCCTCTCCTCACAATATGTCCAAAGAATGTGAGCTGAAAGTTCATCATCTTTACCTCTAAGGAACACTCTGGTTGCACTTTCTTCAAGACATAGCTGTTCATCCTTTTTTGCAGTTCATGAAATGTTCTATACTTTCTTCCAACACCCACAATTCAAAGGAATTGATTCTTCTTCTGTCATCCTTATTCTCAAATGTGCAGTAAGTGACTGAAAAGATCATGGCCTGAATCAGGCACATCTTACCCTTTAAACTGACATCATTGCTCCTTGTATTTTGGAAAGGTCCTGGACAATGGACTTTACCAGTGCAATACATCTTTGGATTTCTGCTTCTACCAAAGGTGTTAACTGTGGATCCAAATAAGATGAAAGTATTGATAGTGTCAAACTTTTCTCCATCTATCATGTTACTGCCTACTGGCCCAGTGGTGAGGATTTTTGATATTGTAATGTAATCCATATTGAAGGCTACAGTTTTTGATCTTCTGCAACAAGCATTTCAAGTCATCCTTACTTTCAGCAAGCAAGACTGTATCATCTATATAAGGCAGATTTTTAATAAGTCTTTCTCTGATCCTGATACTACCTTTCTCTTCATAAAGTTCAGCTTCTTGAATTATTTGCTGAATAGGTATGAAGAAAGGATACAACCCTGGTACAATTTTCTTGATTTTACAACATGCAGTGTACCCTTGCTCTGTTTGGGTTAACAGTTTCTTAGACTAGGTATAGGTTTCATATAAGCACAATTAAGTTCTAAGATTCTTATTCTTCTCAATGTTAGTCACAGTTATGATCCACACAGTCAAAGGCCTCTGCATAGTCAATAAAAAACAAATGGACTTTCTTCTGGTATTTTCCGTTTTCAGCCAAGATCCATCTGCAATGATAGCCCTGGTATCACGGCCTCTTCTAAAGCCAGTCTAAACTTCTGTCAAAGTACTGTTCTAGTCGTTTTGGGATAATCTTCAGCAATACTTTGCTTGTATGTGCTATTTATTATTTTGTTCAATAATTTCCACATTTTTTTGGATTATCTTTCTTTAAAATGGAAACAAATATGGATCTTTTCCAGCCAGCAGGTCAAGTAGCTGTCTTCCGTATTTCCTGGCACAGACTAGTGCTGTAGGCTAATGTGTATATAGGGCTGTATCTATTAGTTGAAACATGTCAATCTGTATCCTATTTATTTGGATGGGGCCTAATTTTTTACGAATGCCATCAATGCTGCTTGAATTTCATTCTTTATTACCACAGGCTCTTTATGATATGCTATTTCCCAAATGTTTCAGTGTCAACCAATTTGTTTTGGTACAGTGACTCTGTGTGTATTCCCTCTATCTTCTTCTTTTTTTTTTTTTTTTTTTAAATTTTATTATCTTTTGTGTGCGTGTACCGTCAAATCAGATCTGACTGGTACAGGAGGAGATTGCCCCTCCTTCCCCGGCAGAGCATCTGGTGGATTAGA